TCTAACTAACGCACTCACCGTGTCGCGCGTCGGGCGGCGTAGGCGGGTGGGGGCTTCGACGACGAACGGGGGCTTCGCACACTCACGGCGACAACGAACGCTGGCGTCGACTTCGTTGGCGGGAAACAAGATCCAGCACACAAAAAAAAAAGGGCCGGTAGGCCCCATTTGAACGATTTCAAATTCCGCCCATCTGGGCCGTCGATCTTGAGGATCGATGGCCCAGACGAGCGGGGATTTGAACTCATTCAAACGGGGCCTACCGGCCCTTCTGTTTCTTTTTTCTTACATCTACGGCTTCCTTGGGGGGGGAGAAGGGCCCCCGCGAAGACCGGGCGGGACGACCTCTGTGATGCGCTGGGGTCGCCTGGTGGCCAACCGGGCGGGACGACCGGCCAGGCAGCCCGGCCCCCCCCCCGGGCGACGAGCCGGGCGCCGGGCGGCCCGGAGTGCAGCCTAGACTATTTCCATGTTTAGAAAACATTTCTTTTTACAGGTGGAGGACAGTAGCCAGCCCCTTGCTATATTTGAACGGACAGAATTAGGCCTGGCAGAATGGAAGCATGTCTTCCAGGTGCAGATCATGGACTTGAGCCATCTGCACATGCAGGCGCACTGGGACAGGGCTAGTTTTAGCATTTGCAAACCGAAGAAGGTCGCTTATGTATTTGATCCATATTATTTAATATTGATGTATTTAATTAGGATACGGCACCCAGACAGTCTGCGTGCCTGTCCCTACCTGTCCGGATCATAACCTTTCCCTGGCTCGTGTTCTGGACAGCATGACACAGCTGCGGTGATTTGCCGCCTTGTCGTTTACTTGATAGAAAATGTCAGTAGGGTGGGTACCTTGCTGGTCCTGCCCCTGGGTGCTTGTCGAGTCGTGTACCTTGCTGGTGCGCCCTTGCTACTTGCTGGTGAAAGGGCTCTCCTGTTTAAAAACGAGTCGCTTGCTGCTTGTGGATTTGCGTACACTGCACTCCTGTTCATAAATGATATGGTAGCAGAGCTAGGATGTGCACAGTAGCCCAATTGTACACATTTCATGATGTTGATGCATACATACAGATGAGCCGTTCAAATTCTGTTCTGTGGCGTGATGGCATCCCATAACGTCAAGGGTCAAAAGGAATGTTTCAAATCCCATCAAGTTGTCGAGTCCCGTTGTTTTTTTGCCAAACAGATTGAGGTTCCAAAAGCGGGGATGGTTTGCACTCTGAACCAATTGAACACTGATGTTAAGGGTTGTCCTGCTTTCCCTTTCTTTTCCCTTCATAAGGTTTTCTATTTTTATTATTTAACTAACGTTATGCTCTTGTGGTGGCTGCATTACCATTGTCTTTTGCCATGGGCAGACTTCAAATAAATGTGTCATCAGTGAAACATGTGGCCATCACAACTGTGCTATTGCTGATGATGGAGCTGGCCCAAGGGGGTCATCCGACTGTGATCAGCCTCTTTGTGGGTGGAGGTGCTCTTGCTGTTGGTATGTCTTCCTTTTCTTTTTCCCATTTATTTTATTAGGGAGAGAGGTCTTCCTTTTCGTTTCTGTTTTGGAGGTTCATCTGGAGTTGAACTCATGATCTGTTTATTAACAGTTACCTGCATGTGCCTTGGCCTCAGCGACCTCCTCCTCCTCTGCTGCACAGTCCTCTGCCACCTTCACTTTCTGCTGCTACTCCACCTCCTCCCCATCCTCCTCTGCCACCTCTGTACTCGATATTCCACAACAAGAAAAAGACAAACCACAGCCTAAGTTAGGTACAACTTGGCCCTTGGCCCTCTATGTGGTATTATCTGGACTAAGTCGTATTTTGCAGCCTGGGTGATACTAAGTGGGTTTTGTGTGCTGCCATGTGGATTGGGTGGTGTGGCCGGGTGTTTCTACGAAAAAGAAAAGAAAACATATGGGGACTGGATGGCACTATGTGTCATGGATATAATATGAGGCAGGCGGATGATGCTATGTGGACTGGGTGGTGCAATGTAGGGGTGTGTTGGAGATGCTATGCAAGCTAGGCTGTGTGACCACCCTCCCACACTTTTGGCAAGCAGTGCGGCCGGGGCCTAAAAGCTACATACATACTGTTCATCCCTATCCCATGTGTGTACTCGTGTTTCCCCCTTTTTTTTTGTTCGAACTGGCGATGTACTTACTAAAGGCCTTTCCACACCCCTCCGAACGAAAGAAATGGCAGTGCATCTTCCGACAGAAGGTGGCTGGATTGATTGGTTGCTATTCATAGCGACAGATGTTTTTTGGCAAGTCCTGTGAGAAAATGCACTTGCATCTTTTTCGTTTGGTCAGTGATGTGCCAAGGCAATATGTGTTTCACACTGGGTTGCCTCGGATGTTCAAAATACAAAACAACCACTCTTTTGCTCTCTCCTCTCATCTACCGCCATGCCTGTCCCCCGGATGAGATCCATGTACAATGGATACCCCAACAGGGGCCTTCTTCATGCAGCGGCAACCAGTGATATAAAGGTGTGAGTGCACCATGGCCAACAGTAAGTCTCCTTGCGGGTTCAACGGGTTCTTCTACCTCTCCCTACTATGCGTCCATAGTCATGGAGGTGTTCTCGCTTATCCTCAGGGTGAATGACCTGACCGCTCATTTGCACTGGCTGATATACCCGGTCTCCAGTACCTCTTGGTGAGGCAATGCCTGCCTCTGCCTGGCCTCCCTTGGATGCACAAGGACTACCAGCTCTTCGTGCTTTTGGTGGAAACTTCATTGCATACTGATATCTACCTACAGGCCCTGAACCTAGACTTCTACCGGAGTCCAACACCATCATTAGTGACATGCTTCCAGGTTCAAAACCCTTGTTCCATTCCTACAAGATTCCTCCCAACGCTTCGCCACTTTCCTTCCGTACTTCACCCACTCCACCCCACCCCTCCGGGCTCTGCTTTCGAAATGACAACTAAAAATGATCAGTACCTCAAGGGGCTAGCTTGCCCCAACTTTCCTTGCAAAGGCAATACATCTTTCAATTAAGTTCCTTTAGGCGAAGGGGCAATGAGGAGATGCAAGATCATTGAATTGGACCTTTCCTTGGTTGAGAGTTCAAAATATCCGTTCAACCGAATATTCTTATCCTGTCTCTTGTAACCTTACGTTCTTACCTCCTCTCCCATCTGTTTTGTAGGTTCTGAATGTCGTAAGTGCGACAGTGTTCAACGTCGCACAGCTCACACCAGTACTACTGTTACTGACTCTTGTGTGTGTGTGTGTGTGTGTGCGTGTGTGCGTGTGTGNAGAGAGAGAGAGAGAGAGAGAGAGAGAGAGAGAGAGAGAGAGAGAGAGAGAGAGAGAGAGAGAGAGAGAGAGAGAGAGAGAGAGAGAGATATGACTAAGGGAACATCGACTATACGTAGGGAGCACTGAGTATCTGGGGAAGTCGAGCGAAGTGAACGCTAGTCGTCTGTTCGTACTTTACTCAATGTCAAGTGCAGGTTGCTTGTGGTGCTATCACATGGCAGCCGACATGTAGTTTAGTTGCCTGCAACAATTCAACAAAGTGGATTTGACATGCCAGCTTGCAGCACAAACTACAACAAGAGCTAATCGTTTCTCCAATGTTGGCACATGACTTACATTTGTGTCAATGACAGGTATGCATTTGGCGGGAGCTACCGAGAGGCGTCGGGAAAGCCGGAGTCTGATTGGCGACCTCCCTGGAAAGGAATGGCAGCAATCAGTCCATACGTCAATGCTTCCTCCCGCCTTTCAGGTAAACATATTGCCAACTCTTCAATTGCATTGGCTATGAAACCTAGTGATAGCACAGAGCACTTGTGCACTCCAGCTCCCTGAGTACAAGATAGACAGGCAATCTTTGTCTCCGTTTCTCTGCAGTTTCGTGAGCACAAACGTTGAGCATGTCTGCCTGTTTGTTTGCGGGCTCGGCCATCTGTCCATTTGTCTGTCTGTATCTCTGTCTCTGTCTTCTCCTTCTCTCGTACTCCCTTTCTCTGTCTTGGTCTCGATCTCTGTCTGTCTGGTCCTCTATGTCTCTCTCTTCTCCCTGTACCTTCTCTCTCTGCCCCTCTCTCTCTGTGTCGCCCATTTGTTCTGCATGTATGCCGATTATCGCATATTGCCATGTTTTGTCCGTAGTCTTCTTCTTGTTTGGGTCATGTCCCGAGCGGTAAAAAATCCCTGACATCATGCAGCCATATGTTGTTTGCTCGACTCTGCTGAGATTCCGGAGCATTTGTCTTTACTCTAGAATGCGCTGTGGGTGATGTAACCATCATTGATCTGTGAATGCAGCATGCAGTAGTCATTAGGAAGCTTTGAGTACATGCTGTGTGTGTTAGCAACCCTGTGGTACGGTCAGGGATCTGCCTAAGCGGAAAGGGAAGGGAATGCAAGGAAAAGACAAATGCAGGCTTGCCAAACTCTTGTATACACTGTCTGAAATGGCTAGAATAGTAAAAACAAAAACAAAAAACGTTAATTTTTTTTTAAAACATGGATAGTAACAGCACTGATAATGAAATAATAAATAATGATAATAAATTAATAATAAAAAAACAAGAAGAAAAAGGGGCCTGGCCCATGTGCCTAAATGGTACAGTACTACAGTGATACTACACACGTTTTAGTGCTAGTGATCAAGAATTCCGATCTTGATGGAATTCGACAAGTACAAGAATGTTACGGGTTGGCCTTTAAAAATAAAGGAAAAATAGACTGAAGAAGAAAAGGAAGCAGCAGCAGCAGAAGAAGAAGAAACATGCGCATGGGGGAGGAAGAGGAGGGTTGGTCAGTGTTTTCAGAAGTTTACTCATTTAGACTGCAGCGGTGGATTACTTTTCAGTGGATTTTCAGTAGTTGATTCAATTTGAGGAATCTGGAGTGAGTGTAGGAATTAGAGAGGATTTGAAGATCAGGCTGACCGACTGAAAACACTGATCTGTGGAAAAGAATGGTTGCAGGAAGACCATCCATGAAAAAAAATCCATAGTCGCAGCGCCGAAAAGGATGATGGCCTTCGAAAGAGAAAATAATCGTTTGCTTTCGGCTGAAGGCCAAGGAAACTTAAGAAAGTGAAGTCGTTGGGTGTAGCCATTCAATTAATCAATGAATCACTCCTTGGGTGTGTGAACCAATGAGACAATCGATCTCGCAAGAATTCATATGGAAGCATTGTGAAGTGGTGGAAAGATCCCATCAACTGCTTCATGGTCGGAAATAAGAATTTTTTGCCATATTAGCTTTTATGATTGTGAAGTTTGTTGTGAACCTTTTCTGCGGTTGGTATTAGTGAGTTTGACTAGAGAGAGGATCTGTGGACCAGGTCGGCATTGAATTGAGGTGTTCGGCTCTGTGCAGGGGCCTTTGGCGCACGTGATGGCAGACTCCAAGTCCCGACGAATAGCATGTATGTAATCTTAATCTGCGCTAATCTTTCTACTGATAGATTGTAGCACGGTATGAGAAATGACTACTACTGTTGCACACCAGTCTATATTCATATTAGTAGCAGCGGCAACAGGTCTACGATAATCCAACTTCTACAAGTTACATCGCATCTAGAGAGCTCCTCTGCAAACACTCAGACTGTATAGTGGGCATGATCTCTCTGAAGAGTTGCACTGCAAACACAAACTGTACTGTGGCAGTTCTGTGTCAATAGGGACCCCGATTGAAAAAGGGGAAAAGGAACAGAGGGGAAATAGGGAAGAATTGCACGTGCTATAGGGGCTCCTGTTGAAGCTGTGTTACCTTTCAAGAGTAAATCTTTGATGATGAAATTTATTTAACCACCAGTACCTTTTGCATATATTGGCCGCGGGCAGAAAAAAAAGGGGCTGAAACGGAAAACGGTCCGTCGATGAAAAAGCTATCAACGGCGGGCCGATCCCACTTGGCTTCCGAATATACCGGCGCGTATTTGATTCTCAATTGGGGAAAGAAAGCTACTGTTGGTTTAATGAGGATGAAACTTGACGATGGTAAAATTTGATGGCGATGAAATTTGAATGGATGTGCAGTGCACCTCGGGTTTGACTCCACCGACCTTGTGTGCACTCCTTTCATTCGTGAAGCCTGGTGGGAGTTGGAACGTGATTCTCTTTGCTCATTAATGTCTATTTCTTCTAGTATTTCACCAATTTTTTACCTTGGCATACTAAGTTCTAGCATTTGTGTCTCCAGCTTCTTCTTTCCTTTCCCACCCTTCCTGTGCAGGGCCCGTCTTAGCTGCACCCCGCTTCCTTGTTTAGGGTTTACGGTTTTGGGGGGTTGCCCTCGTCTCCTATTCGTTCTTTTTGGTGGTTTCATAGAAGTTTATCAGGTGGTGATGTAACGAGCGTGAGGCTGAGGGTGAGCCGAGGGAGATGAGAGAGAGGGAGAGAGAGGGAGAGAGTGAGAGCACACACACACACTCACTCACTCGAC